ACTGCTGCCGGCACCAGGCCCTCCACTACCCCCCAGGCCACCCTGGACTCCGCATCCCCCTGAAGCGCGGGGCCTGGGGTGGTTACCCTGGTCCGTCCTATGGACGGGACAGCTCCCTTTTGGGCACCACCAAAAATTATATAAACCTGAATAGTCCATCTCACTGATCATAAGTGGACTTTTGGGCTACATTTTTACTACAGCCTCAACCCAGCTTCCAATTATGCACCCAAAATCAGCTGTGCATAAAAAAATCCAGGCAATTCTATAGGTAACTGGGGAGTTATTTGCATTATTTTCCTTCTGACAACTGATTGTAGACACAACATTATAGGTAATTTAAAAAATATTGGCATTTACCCCCTGTAGTTGATCATTATACTGTGGTATTCGTGACATTTCTCATACAATATGTAGAAAATACCACAAATTCCATGGAAAAGTTAATAAGTAAAGTAAGGTAAAGTAAATATTGTGGTATGGTATCACATTTATGCATTACAGCAGTTCAGATCAATGGGACTGAGGCAACCAGTAGTTCTACAATTTAAACTCAAGAGGTTGGGAGGCAAATCTTCTGTATTGTGGGCCTGCAAATCTGGAAGGTTTTTCCTCTCTGTGTTTCCCAGGGTACATATGTAGAATTCTTCACATTGAAAAGCAAGATATATTTGTTTCACATTTTACAATTATTTGCAGTTGTAGGTATGAGGAGTGGACAGTGTTTTATATTTGAGTCATGTGGGCTGATATTGAGTGGTGGGTGAAGGTGTAAGACTATTGAATATTTTGAGGCACTAATTCTGTACTAATTCTGCTTTGTTTATAGAGACATATGCCCTTTGTTTATTAAAACTTGTTTTAGATATTTTTAAAATAATTGAATTATTGTTGTTTATTTTTACTTAGTGTTAAAAAAACCAACAGATTCATGTTTTCAAAGTCAATTCTTACAGCTTTAGAACCACACTCTTCCCTGAATTATTGATCCGTTAACCACAGAGTGTGGGTTGACAGCATTGATAATGGTGAGATGCCAAACAAGAAAAATATGTACAAACCAGAATTTTTCAGTCCCTCTGGAACACAGCTTCTCTAGCACTTTTACAGGATTGGAAACCTGCAGACATAAGGATACATAATATGGCTGAGATCCTGAAGGAGAAAAGTTTTAGATTCTGAGCACTTTCACTAGGGGGGGAAATGAATTAATGTCAAACTGTGACCTTCAAAGAAAAACTTAGCAGTTTTCAGAAATAACAGCATTTGGAATTAACTGTGAGAACCAACAAATAATGGACAAACTGCATTATCCTGAAAAGATGAAAGTGAATGTAACTGCCAAAAAAATTAAAAAGCAGTATCTAGAAAATCAAATTAGAGTCCTCAAAATATCTGAAAATAAGAAAATTCCTAACTGGTTTTATTACATGAAGAATCTTATATTGTTTGTTCTTAGAATTAATGTCAATGAGGACCTCATTTACCAACCTACATAATTCCAAAGTGAGATACTGAAAAGAACTCTGGTAAGGGAGAAATTCTGGTCGTCAGCATTTCGGGACAAAGATTGAATGCACCATATGCAACAAAAGAAATCTGCGTATAGTATAGGAAAACAAAACATTCCTTTTCCAAATTTAGCCTGATTAATTTGGATGAGAAGAAAAAATTTGATATCCCTAAAAAAGGTCTAGATGAGGGTATACATTCTGCAGTCCTCTTCATGGCTAAGTGTTGGGCAATTTACCAGGAGACAGGCTATCTTTTCTGGAGCTAAGCTTCAAATTTTAAATTACTAGAAACCTTCAGGTCCAACCAGAAACATGGGCAATTTAACAAACTAGAAGACTCAGTTCACAGGTAACTAACCCAAAGATGTTTCCTCTGTTAGTTAATTTCACTGACTGGATTTGAGATCCTGGATTCAGTTCCTTGGAGTGTAGAGGCAATGCTTTCCCTCTATCTTCAGCAAAGTGTGGGGATGAATGGAATTTTATAGTGAAGGTTCAAGCCATCCCTCCTATTGCACTGTAATGTTAAAGTTTGCAAATCTGTAATGTTGCAACTTGTGAAAAACAGGAGACTTTTTATTGGTATTGCTGAAATTTGAAAAGTTTAATAATAACTGAGATAAGTATTGAAACATGTTTGTGATTTTATCCTGTGAAAACAGGGCTATTGTACACGTAGGCCCTGATCCTGCAATGAGATCCATGCTGGCAGAAACCCCATTGACTTCACTGGGATTCTGCACAGGCAGAGGTCTGCTCACGTACATCTTACTGCTGGATCAGGATCTTATATATCATGTTTTCTTTCACTGTACTGTGAATATGGAAAGCCAATAAAATAATTTTAAGTCAATGCCACCACCATCAAATTTAAGTTGAGGTAATTATAACCATTATATCTCACCAGTCAATAGGCATGGGGCACTTAATGGAGAGGCATATGGTTTTTTAATATTATAATATGGAGCATTTTACGTGCATTTTACATGCAGTAGCACAGACCCACAAGTGGAGAATATATTACAGATATTTAACTCTAGTGAGCAAGAATAACTTTTTTCTTTCATGCTTTTTACATAATTTCCCCCTTTCTTTTGTGGAACACAGGCCTTGGGCATGTTATCTTGGTTTGCATGTATGAGTGTTTTGTTCATAGGATATGAATATCAATACCAGTATTATATTCTTATTATACATGGATGAGTTATTAAATCCTTTAACAAAAAGGTATTTAACATGATACAGGGGTGTCTGAAAGCCTTTAAACTACCAATATTTTTCCTTCTGAAAGGACAACTGTTTAGGCTATGAATTTTCTGCTGTTTTGGATAATTAAAAAGAGGCTACAGTAAAGTGTGATTGAACCACAAAAACATTTGAAGGCCCAGCAAAAATTTCCAAAAGCAGTGAAAGGGAATTGGGGTATTTTTATAGTTCTCTAGGTCTGGCTACTTTATATAATCAAGTTAGTAAACTATTCTCTCCCATAGTAATTCCATTCTGATTCAAGAGGGCCAAAAATGGAAATCACAAGAGAAAAAAAAATGTTTTCATAGCAAATTAAACCATTTGGAGGCAAACTTTACTTTGCTAAACACCATATAAATAGCAGATTAGGTTGTCTTTAAAAAAGGTTTAAAAGTTTCTGGTTCCAGAAGGGGGCATTCTGTTCTGACTGAGGGTAACAGACTCTTGATATAATGATTATGCATAATAAACTATCATATATAATTTTATAATAATTTCTGGAAAAATGTTTAAAATTATTCTAATGTTACAGTTTCTATCTTGTAACTATGTAAAGGCAAAGGTGGCTGCTCAATAGTCATAGGCTGCAATATTGCAATGATCTCCACATGGGCATAGGCCTATGCCTTCCAGTACATCTTCCTCTGTACAGCTCTTTGCAGAACTAAAGCCTTAGAAAGTCCATTCCTCTGTAATACATCAAGGAACTTTTGTCCAGATTCAAAAAAGTATTTAGGTGCCTAATTCCCTGCTGAAGGAATCAGCGAATACAGTGATTATGGGTCCCTGGAAACTATATTGTCTAGTGGAAAAAGAAGAGAGCTCTTTTAATTTTAATTATATTAACCAACAAAAACAATTCGATAATATACAGAATTGCCATTTGTAGGTAGGTTAGTAGCATCATATACACTTTACACAGTGGGAAACTGAAGCTCACAGAGATTAAGTGACTTGCCTTTGGGGGCACACTGATCTAGCAGATTACTGCTAAAACTAGTTGTCTGGAGACTAGGGTTCCAATTCTCGATTCTGACACTGACATGCTGTGTGACCTTGGACAGATCACAGCCTTACTGAATTTCAGTTTCCTCATCTTTAAAAAGGGGGCAATTATATTTAACAACATTATAAAGTTGTTGCAAAGTCTAAACAATATTAGTAAGCTGTTACTCATGCAAAATATTATTAGAGCCTCTTAATGGCCGAATAGAACTCGGGACTTCCTGGCTTCCAACCATGTTCTCACTGCGTTGTGAAGACAGTAGCATCAGCTCCTTCGGTGGTAGTTTTACAAATTTGCAAATGCAAAAGTGACTTTTCACTTTTTCACAAATGATCAAATAATGAATTTAGTCCCAAAAAATTGAAGTTTTGGAAAATTTGTCCAATTGCATGAGTTAGAGACCTGTAAAAGAGACAAACTTTATTTAAAAAAGTCCACCAAACAAAATAAATGTTTTGGTCTGCTGAGCTGTTAGGTGAGGAAGCAAAGGAGGAATACAAATACTAAACTAAATCCTGCAAGCTGGTACCCACATGAATAATTTTGTTTATGTCAGTAATCTCAAACTCAGTAGGGCTATTGGGAGGAATGGAGTTATTCATATATGTAAATGCTTGCAGAATTGGGGGCAGTGAGTTGGTGGAAGGAGGGGAAGATTGACAGAGACTTTATTTTTTGGTGTGGTAAATTAGGAACAGGACTTTTAGGTGCCAGCCCATAATAGCATGCAGAATTGCCACAAGTGAATGCTGCTGATAATATTCTGCTGGAGACTCCTTCAATTCGAAAGCATTGCACAATCACTTAAGGATAGTAATTTATTGTTTTATTATATTAAAATTCACATAACTGAATATTATTTGAACAGACTGGTTGCCATTAAAAAGTAAACATTTATTCACAGTTATAGTTCAGAATAGGCAACAACTGGAGTATCTTTGGCAACATTGTTCAGTTACTGGGAATAAAAGTTGACTTTCTATTGGTGACCAAAGTGTCATTGTTGTGGTTTAATTTCTGCTAGTTACTGTGGTTTTCCTCTTTTATATTTAATTTGCTTTGAATTAAATACCTTTATGGAAATCTTTAAGCATTAATATGGCCAGCCATAACTCCTCCACTTCTAAACAGAAAAGTGATTGCAAATTCACAGGTTCTAAGCATCCCTGTTACATGTATAGATTTCATGTATTTTTTCTTGACATCACTTCATTTTAATATTTGTTTTGCAGATAAAGGCTTATATTCATATAATTCAGGTAAATTTTCAGCATGCCTGAAGTGTTTATTGCTTGCATATATATGCACAGTTTAAGTTGACATTTTATTGATGTGCTTATGCTACATACTGTGCATATTTTAAATTGCTAAAGAGTTCCTTGGCTTTCCTGTGTGCTTTTCAGTCATGTCCTTTGTACTGGCTTTATTTTTTTCAACATCTTAGTATTGGGAACACCTTGCTGAAATTCCAGTGACTTTGAAAGTATAATATTTGTTTTGCCTGTCTCTATTTGAGGGTAGATAGAGATTTGATAGATAAGTTGTAGTATGCTTTACTAATTATACTGGGGAAATATTAAGTTATTTTGGTCAGAGATTTATTAAAATTGAAAACTTGTACTGAAGCTGCTTTGTGAACTGTTTTAAATAGTTAAAGAATGCAGAAATGTGGTAAGTAAGATACTGTTAATATCAGCAGAAGTGTCTTTGTATATAGCTATATTATACCGTCCCAGTTGCAAATCATTTTGCTATATCTGAGAAAGAAAAGTGATGCTCTTAGCTTTCCTTAATTAAATATAAATAACCCAATAATGTAAAGCCTTCCTAATACAAACTTTAATTCTATCACACATTTCATGTGGGACTTTTCCAGGTCAAACAGTTTTAATTACATGAACTTCACTGAGATTTGGTTCACCTAATTATATTTTAATTATGTTTAATAAATGTAATACTAAGAAATTAAAGCTAATACTATGCCCACAAAAATCTCTTCAGCCACGGATACTCAGGGCCTGAATGAAACTGAGAGAGCGAGCTGCATGGTAGTCAGTTGTGGCTTCCTAAGTCCAAAGCTGTTTCTGTTTCAAGCCTGGCATAAATTCGAATAATTTAGGGGCTGCACTAAACTAGACCAAGGGGCTCGTAGCGCGGTGAGGACTCCCCGCTGTGGTGCCTCCTGCTGGTCGTCCAGGGAATTAGCTCACCAACCTCCGAAGCACCCTCTGCAGGCTGGTGTCTCGCCTTGCCGCTGGCCCCCGTGTCCCTCCCAGACCCCAGTGCCCCTCTACGTCAGGGTTTCTGCCCCTACAGTACCCTGCAGTCTCTCGGGGTCTCCCCTCCCCAGGGAACCCCCAACCCCCTATCCCCAACTCGCCTCAGTCTTTGGCTACTGCCAGTCACCGTCTAGCCCCCGCTCACTGGGGCGGACTGCAGTATAATTGCCACTCATCATCGGCAAGGAGGATTTGAACCGGCTGCCTCCGCCTACCCTTGGGATGCCCCTCTGCAACCCCAGTACCCTTCTTGGCCTTTAGCAAGGCCTGCAGGCTGGGGGTTTTCCAGGCCGGAGCTCCCCAGCTCTTCTGGCCTTTCTCCAGCCCTGCTCCACTTTAGGTCTCCTGCTCAGCTCCCAGCAGCCAGGCCCATCACTCTCAACATCCAGAGAGAGACTCTCTGGCTCCAGCCTAGCAGCCCCTTTATAGGGCCATCTGCGGCCTGATTGGGGTGTGGCCCAGCTGCGGCTGCTTCCCAAATCAGCCCAGGCTTACTGGTTCCCCACTACAGCCCTCTCACAGGGCTGTTTTAAGTGCTTCAGGGCAGGAGCGGGGTTACGGCCCCGCTACAGGGCTACATTCACTTCTCCTCCTCATCATCATGTGTAAGATTGCCTATAGGGGCCCAATCTGGTAGGCGAGCTCTGAGTCCACTTACCAGATCATGCTCCGCAGGCAAGTTAGGCAGAGGAACACATATCTTCCCCTGGTTCTTGCATTGTTCTGGGGCTTACATGTTGGGACACCTGGTGTGGAGCTGCTCTGCACATGATCAGAGACAGAAACATAGATGCCTTGGGAACTTTATTGCAAAAATTTAGGTGCCAAGTGAGCTTAGGCACCTCCAGGGTTTTGTGGAAGCCAAGGGGGCGGGGGAGGTCTGGTGATTCCCAGTGGGGCCTGATTCTTGGATTTAGGTGCCTAAAGTGGCAGTTAGCCACCTAAGTCCTTTTGTGAATCCAGCCCCAACTGACTAAGCCACCGAAAGGCCATCTACCATCTTGAGATAGCTCTAACCACTGGACAATATGTTATTCTGATGTCTGTCTTAGACTGTCCTGTTGAATTTGTTCCACTTTGTATATGTAATTAAATATACATTGGGCCTGAGACAGAGTGAGAAATGAGTCCATACTCCAGTGGTTAAGGCACTCACCTGAGAGGTGGTAAACCTGGGAGATGTCTGTGCTACCTTGCATGTAAAAGCAATATCTCCCTGGGATATTGATGACAGAACTATGCACAGGTCTCTACATCACTGTCTAATATCTGGTCCAATGTGGAAAGTAGTTTCAGGAGGTCTTCCAGAATTATCTGCCTGCTAAAGCTGTCTGTTTTCAAAACATTTATAAATACAGAGTGTTTCATTCATGATTTGGAAGAGGCTGGATAGCCATCTGTCTTGGATGGTTTAGACACAACAAACCCTGCATCTTGGCATAGGGGGGTTAGACTAGATGACCCTTGTGATCCCTTCTAACCCTATGATTCTATGTAAAATGGCATGCACTATGCGCCAAGGGGACACATCCTCTTCATTGGATCCCCAATCTGGCTATACACCCCTGATTCTATTACAATAGGGTTCTTCCCTACTATGGAGGAAGGGGCTAGGATCCACCCTAAGAGATATGCAAATAATCTCCATTCCCCTGAGTAGTGATTCTTTTTAGTCTCTGTGTCCCTTTTCTACCCATCAGAAACCTTGCACACATGTCAAAGACTGGTGGCAAATAGGTTAAGTCTCATAGCTAGTGACCTATTGGATGATTGCAAACAGCCTGAGCTGACACACATTGGGAGCATGTAATCATTTGTTAATATGTATTACTACAGAATGCTAAAAAATACAGATTGCCTTGTCCTCATTTCAAAAAGTACATTCTCTTTTATGAATGGGTGAGTATCACCCACATGTTAGTATACAGATTTTAACATTCCAATATCAGCAGTAAAACAGGTTGGGCAGAGCATGCACCCCTCCTGTACTTATAAGATGCCAAAGAAGAAAGAGATAAGTGTGTGTAAGTAAAATTAAGCCAAACAGAGGCTAACACATTTATTTGTCATACATGACCTACATTTTAGGTCTAATTATGGATTTAGAATCTGCTTTTGCCAACTAAGCTCTAGCTATTTTAACAAGTGTTGTGCTTGCTGTGGTAGCATTAAAATACCTCTTTTCCTCTGAATTTTCACAGCTATAATTTGTCTTGCAGGATGCAAACTATGCATATGAAGCTGCTAAGCCCTAATAATGATTATCATTACCTTTTAGAAAATGTAGCATTCATTTAACATAATAGCTATAATTCCTCTTCCAAGTGTTTATAAACGAGTTTAGCCATATTGCAAACAAGCACAAACAAATGCAAACATAGCATAACTTCAGTATTTTGCAGCTGGATTTCATTCTTTCACTTTTGAACTATTATTTATCGATTTAGAGGAAAATAGTTAATGTGCCACTAATTAATAACCATTACAATAATGTACATATCTTTCTGTTCCAAGGATCCTGCATTGATTCTCCTTGTATTTATCTATATATTTTTGCCAAGTTGTGTAGTCTGAAATACATTTCATTTGGTTATTATTATTGCCTGAGCAGTTCTGACTTACAGTAATAACACTGATATGTTTGTGACGATTCTTTTTCTGCAGGGTCCAAAAGAATCAGTGATAGTGAAGTCTCTGACTATGACTGTGATGATGGAATTGGTGTAGTTTCAGGTATGAATTTCTAAATGCATTCTTCTAGTTTCAGTAAAGAGCTTTTTTATTTATCATGTACTAATTTATTGTTGCTTTTCTCCTGGTAAAAAATAAATCAGCACTCAATACACATTTTTCTAACAAACACCCAGTATGCTGTGAGCTAGCTTTTCTTAACGCATTAACTACAAAGATGACTTGTAAAGGGGAAAAGCAATGATCCCTTTTCCTTTTTGGCTTCTTTATAATGTATTTTGTCCAAAAAACCCCCCCCAGAGTTTTATTTTGTTGTGCTTTCTTTTTAACTCGGAATTCAGGTCTTATGTTATCTGGAAGACTCCATGGTGAAATCATAGTGAAATAGTGAGAACACTGGAGTCAAGGACTCAGAAAGCTGAGCATTTGAGGGGGGAAGGGAATTTTAGCCACATGTTTTTAAAAGTCTATTTGTTTTGTTAACAGATATTTAATTTCAGTGCTTCATGAGTATTTAAGACCAAAAATGTTATTGGCAAAGATCCAACACCCCACCTCTTCTAATAAGATGCAAAGAACTCACAATAAACAACTCTGAGTTCTCCAAGACATCTATCAGTAAAACCAGAAGAGACTACATTTTACATTTCTGGATATTTCTAAGTTAATAAATAGAAAAAAACAACAATTGTTTTTATAAAGAAAAAATAACAGTAATAAAACCCATACACTATCCTTTTGGGTCTTTAAACTTTCCACAGAGAAAAAAAAAGGGACATCCTGTGACAGGAAAAAGTCCTTATGCCAGTCATGTTTAATTCTTTCTTTTACAAGAGGCACCATTCTGGACTGGGGTGTGCTTCGTAGCTCAGTCCCCAACATTTCTAGTTTTTTCACACCTAGTTCTCCCTTTTTGTTGCAGCCCACCTTTGGCCTCATATCTATCACTACCTTATGGTCGTAGGCCTTGTCTACAGTGGAGAAAGGAATTATGTTAGAAACCATTATTAACTAACACATCTAACTAACAGAATGTAAAACACAATTTAGTACCTAGTGTACTAATGTGCTGTGTTCACTAATTATGAGTAACTTGAGGGTCCTCACTACCATAACCAGAGAATACATTTTAAAACTTGTCCTTGTCAACACTAGTTGCTAGACATCATATTAGTTAACACATTTCTAACATGATGCATCTTCCTGGTCTAGACAAGCCCAAAGAGGGAAGTCTGCTGCATAGTAGACACAACCAGCTGGCAGTTGTGCCTTTGAAGAAGCAGGTTTGATTGTTTGATGGATTGCAGCTGAGATATGGTTCCATATGGCTGGCCGCTTTTGTATCTTTTGTCTCCTGGCTCCAATTCTGTCTCCTCAGAGGAGATTTCATTCTGGTTCCTTTGCCTCCATGGGCAGGCATCAAACAGACAGCCCAACCTCCAAAGTGAACACCAGGCCTGAGCCAAGGTTCCCTTGACAAGGTTCCCAAAACTGTATACAAGGAGGGTGATCTAAAAACCCTTGGTGTCATCCCAGTTTAACTATGCCATAATTAATTTAAATTCAGCTTTCCAGGATGCAGCCAGTCATTGTTTCCCACTCCCCATAAGCTTCTGTATGCTTGAGAGTACAAGAATGATAGTTGTAGGGTACTCCTCACCCTGCAAGGTGTTCTTTAGGAGTTCCTTCACCCTTTTCCTTGCCTGGCACCATTCTCAGTGGCCAAAGAGGGCATAGGTTTCCCCTGCCCTAAGCATGTTTCCCGGACCACGAGGAAACTGTGGAGCAATCCTGGGAGAAACATGACTTGAAGCTAGCTTTTCTTGATGTCTCCTTGGACCTGGTAACTTTTCCCTCTCTTCTGCTTACCAATAATCTTATGGGCAGAAGAATTTTGTGAAAAGCAAAATTCCAAGCTGAACAGTGCCTTATAGCCAGCTCCTTATAGGAGAGAAGCTATTTAGGGAAGAGCAAACCCTGTAGACTGTCCAGGATGAGAAAAATTCTGTTCCAGAATGACCAAAATATCATACTCCGCCTTCTAGCATAAAGAACACTCAGGTTGTTGTTAGTTTCCCTTCAAGTCTCACTAAAGACCAAGGTTCCAAATATCTCACCATGAAATAGTTCTCAGTGTAAGCAGAGTCAGAATGATCTCTACCCTGACATCTGGTGGTGAGTTGTGGAAAAGGACTTCAGGGGCTGATCTTGTTTGCATGATGGGACTGCTTGCCCAAATAGTCACTTTGGCAGCTGTGGGATCCCCAGTCTCTTTGTTATTGGGGCAGCAGTAATAAGGTGTTGTTATCCTGGTTATGTGAATCAAGGACAGTAGAACTGTACTTGGCATTTTATGATGGAGGGACTCGCCCTTAACTAAGTAGCACTCACTAGGCAAGGGACATAGGTTCCAAAGCCCAGTGAACTGAGAGAGGCTGGTGGCAGGTATGTGTACCTGGTAGTGTGGGCCCCTTCTGAGGGCCCTAAACACCACTTTGGCCCCTCCTTTCTCCACTGTGTAATAGCAGAGCTAATTTTGAATCCGTTAGGAGTCTCATTACATGCTGCAGCGCTGATACCTAGGTCTAAGCATTGGACCTACTTTGGGCTAGTGGTTCTGAGTGTGCCAGCACTGGGGCTCCCCTACTAACTGAGAGCTGAAATCACTAAAGAGCTGAAGTTACTAAGAGCTGAAATCACTGAGAGCTGTGTTAAGTGTGTGTGTGTATGGGGGGGGGGGCTGGGCAGTGTTAAGTGGGGCGGGACTGGGAGGTAAACGCTGCAAATGAACTTCTGAACTCTGAGGGCTGCACTGACCAAGGACAGAAACTGTGGGTGGGGTGACTGTTGGGTTGCTGGACTTAAGACCCTGAGGGGAAAAGGACACTGCCAAACTAACTTGGGGGTGGGTCTTTTGCTCATGGTTTGTGTTATGAATCCTGTTTGTGGTGTTTCCCCAACATAATGCCGCATTGTTTCCCTCCTTTATTAAAAGGCTTTTGCTACAGTCAAACTCTGTGCTTGCGAGAGGGGAAGTATTGCCTCTTAGAGGTACCCAGGGGAGTGGTATGTAATTGTCCCAGGTCACTGGGTGGGGGCTCGAGCCGGTTTTGCATTGTGTTATTGAAACGGAACCCCTAGATACTGAACCCCGGCCTTGTTGCTGCCAACTCTGACGGGCAGAAGGGTTACATCAGGAACAAACCAAAACTGCAAGAGTTTGCAAACGAAGACATGGAGAGCTTTGGATCCCAGGGCTCTGAAACTTCCTCCTTTCCTTTCAAGAGAAGTTTTCCACTTCACTTCTTCAGACAGCACTTGGTACGGATCTCAGAAGACAATTAGGTTCATTTGGTGAGTTCTTTAGATTAGTTTGTGGATTTAGTGAATATCCACGTCTCTGTCTGCCCCCCTCATCTCTCTATCTAGAAAACAGTGAGGAGAGGATGCTTCTGGCATATTCAAGCCATAACAGAGAGACAGTGTTTCTTAGAGATCTGATTGCTCCTAACTGCTGTGCCAAAGATTTCAATAGGAGTTTATCTTAATTTAGATCTGAAGTGGCTCAGCTTCTAGTGTATGCTCAGTCATCATCATAGTAAGGCCTGGGGCATTGCTCTTGCCTCTGTAGACTCTAAAGATGAATGCTTTCATATTCCCATTGCTCAGTCGCCTCAGAAAGACCCCATTTAACTTTTGGGGAAAAACAGTCCACCTGGCCTAATGTCAGCACCCGGGAATGTTTATTGTAGCAATAATGACTGTGCTTTGCCAATGGCTCTTTCATATCCTCATCTATGGATCTGGATGACTGGTGAAAGCCCCAGTGCTCACAGAGTCTCTCACTACTGTTTGACAATTGACGGACTTGCTGTGAAACACTTGGGGTTTATAATACAATGACAGAACTTAGACAATTCTTTATTAGCTGCTAAAGCATGTGTTGGCATGGCTTTAGGGGTAAGTTAATGCTTTCAGAAAATAATCTTCAAAGCTGATAGCCCATGCCAGGAGATGACTGAATAATTCATCCAAATACATACTAGAAATGTCATCCATAGATCTAGTTTCAGAGTAGCAGCCGTGTTAGTCTGTATCCGCAAAAAGAACAGGAGTACTTGTGGCACCTTAGAGAGTAACAAATTTATTTGAGCATAAGCTTTTGTGGCTACTCTAAGGTGCCATAAGTACTCCTGTTCTTTTATCCATAGATCTAGTCATTTGGGACACAAAAATCTGCTAATATGCCTCATGGTACCCTGTTGGAGCAATGGAACCCAAAGAATGATCTGCCAGCCACAACCTTACTCTCACCAGTGGTCAGGCAGTCCTTGTGATTGGAAAGTCATATTGCTGCAGGATTTTCAGGCAGTCCTAACAACATCTGATGCAAGCCTGCAGAGATGTGTAGCTGTCCAGTCCTAGTTATGTGAAGACACTTGGTCCCATCAGGAGAAGTGTCTCCAAATCAGCTTGCTGGAACACAAGGCAGTGGCGTTTACCCTTCAAACCTTCAGAAATGAAATCCTGAATCTCTTAGTCCTGTTGTGTATGGACAACACCCACTCTAGTTACTTATATTAATAAGCAAGGAGGCATCAGGAGTAGAAGACTGATACAGGAAGCATTGACCCTAGTTCAGTGTGCAGAGGATTACCTGGTGTTCAACATGGCAATGCAATGGGCAGGCTTTCTCGAGTTGCAGGTTGACTGGCTGAGCCAACAGGTACTGGGCATTGAATCTGCAGGACTTCCAATCAGTAAGCAATCAATGGGTCACCCCAGCAGTGGACCTCTTGTGACCACAGACACCATGATCCCTAGATTCTTTGATCGGTACATGAAATCTCAAGCCTGGGCAAAGCAAACCTTCTCTCTCAACTAAAGAGGCCTGCTGATGTATGCTGTTTCTCCTTTCCCCATGAAGGAAAGGGAGTCCTGCGAAGGACAAGATGGACAAAGGAGTACTCATTCTAATCCTTACTGGTCAAAGGATTCAAGGCTGCTTATGCTCTCACCCACAGATCTGATTTTTCTCCAGA